ATGTGCAGCCATCTGGATGGTGTTTGCATAAGAGACGGAATACATCTGGTCACTAATAGCAATAATCACTCTTCGCTTAAAAGCCATCATTTAGATAAAAGAAACACTGCAGCCAATGACTGAGTCAGGTAAGTGCACTCTGCACATATTAACGTTGCTTTTACAAACATTTACTGGGCAATCATTCAGTTGGAAAGAGGTTGGGGAAATACAGTGTATATTTTCAATAGTTACACATTAAAAAAAACACTTTACATAAAAAGTAATCAGCTCCAAGACACCAAAAGTGAAAGTGTCATAAAAGAGTTGCAAACCCAGGGGTCTTTGTGAGATTAAATTGTGATCTCTATGAAATGAGAGTTTTCCTCTGGGCTAGGGATAATGTGATTTTCATCATGGAAGAAATTTAGAGGGGATTTCAATACAAAGAAGGAAAATGGGAAAGAGTTGCCTTGGGGGAAGAATGATGCCTGCATGAAGCGGGGAAAAGTGGACGCAGACAGACAGAGACTATGTAAAGAAGAGGAGTTGCCATCCGTTTACACAAGAGGAGGGGGCTTTCAATAAAGCAGTAGAGTTGCAGGAATGTGCATATATGCTGCCCCATTAAATTATAATTTCCAGCAGATATTTTTTTCAATATTCAATACATAGTTTAATTGTAAATCTCTTAGAGGAATTTAGAAAAACAACGAGAGGCTCTTGAATTTCAGATAGAGAAGAGATAGAAAATTTGAAGTCACTAATTTTCTGGGGGAGGGGCTTATAGCAGGAAAAATTCCAATGACAGTGATAAATAAGTATAAAAGTTGAGCAAGAAAATTGGCCAAGGAGCGATAGGGAGTGGGTGAAGCTGTTAATTTAGATGGAAGAAATGGTTTGTAAGCAGGAAAGATGGTTAAACAGCATAGGTTAGAATCACCAGATTCGGTCTCAGGGGTGGAGGTGTCCTGTAGTTTGTGCGGATTTACCAGGATGCTGATGGGTTTGCCATTACCTGGGACAAGAGGGTATGTTGATTTGGAAGAGAAACAAATGCCATGAAATAAGTAGCATGTCAGGTAGAAAGGCAGAGAATTCAGGTTCAGACACTGGGTACCCATTTACAAAACTTAACGTGAAACTTGCTACTTTGGGGGCTTTAGATACTTGAAAATAAAACTGAAATTTATGCCCTGGCAATGGTGAAGCCTGCATGGGCAGCCCGTATACAGTGGTTCTGTTGAACTTACCCATCTTGGGTTTTATTATCTAAGTTACAACGTACCGTCGTTCAATTCAGTGAGCAGGTGAAACTTGGAATGACCACTATAGCACACGCGAGAGACAAAAGATAAACCCTTAAGTAGGACTGGTCATCATGACATCATTGGCAGAAGTGAAGCAGAGTGGGTGATGGCTTTGGTAGCTATAGGTATAGCTGCTTAAGCAATAGCATGGGTAGGACCTTTGCTGATGAGGACTGAGGAGTGAGTAGGGATGAAAGAGAGGAAACTAAGGTTGTAAGAAGAGTGGAACTCAAAGGGAAAATCATGGCTAAGAAATCAAAAAAGACAAAGGTCTGAAGATGTAAGCAAAAAATGGGGGAGATTTTCTCAGAATAAAATGCAATGCAAAGAAGGAGGAAAGAAAGAGAAATTTATTTATTTATTTATTTATTTATTTATTTATTTTTAGACAGAGTTTCTCTGGGTAGTTTTGGAGCCTGCCCTGGTATTCACTCTAGGCTGGTCTCAAACTCACTGCCTTTGCCTCCTGAGTATTGGGATTAAAGGTGTGTACCACCACTGTCTGGGTAGGAAGGGGAATCTTAAGGACTTGATATGTGATATTGAGGGACTTGCTAAGAAAATAAATGATTTTGCCAGCTTTTAGCGGATATGAGTCTCATGGTTGAAGATATAATAGTGGTGGCAGGGTTTCCCCTTAAAATAATGCATTTTGTCACAGTAGAGGTCACTCAAGAGCAAAAAGCATAAGGATTGGTATGCTAGAGACCTGTTGTACAGTAGCTTAGTTACTCAGTATTATTCTATATCAGATGCCATTCTGTTATTACAGGGTTGGGAACTGTAAAATCTGACTTAGAATAGTTTCAAAACGTCTTGTAATTTCATGTAACTTAAAAATAGCATCTCATATTGAATTTGAATACAGAAAATTCTATTTAATTTAAAAATGTTGTTTTATGGTCATGTTAAAGTTGGCTAGAGGAGCTTTGGCCACATCAATCCAATCACTGCTAAAATTACTCGTTAATATATGGGCCCATTCACAATGGCTATTAACTGGACTTATGAAAATGGATAAAGCCATCAGTATCATTTTCTCAATTACTCATGTCTAAAGTAAGTACTTTATAGTCCTAAGGATGCCAAAGCATATGTTATATGATAAGGAAGTTCTGTTTTGTGTGCTTAAGAATGATAAATGATAGCTATTCTTTTGAAAGGCTTTTATGAGGAACAGGCAGATCTTCATTTTTACAACTAGGAAATGTTACATCTGAGGAATTAAAGTGAACAGGATTAAATATAAGATGATAAATGAAATGTGATGGAAACCCAAGGAGTGGAAATGACTGACTAGGAGACCAGGACTAGTTAAGCTGAGAGTCCCTTGGCTTTCATTCCAGATGCTGCTTGCTCTGCCACAGCAAGAAGCCCCCTTGACTTCTGGAAAACTATTATTCTCAGGGTCAGAATAGTAACTAGATATACATATGGAGCACTCAATTGAATGTTTTCTTAGTTGGACAATTGCATCTGTGTTCTAATTATTAACAGCTCCAGGAATTAAGGAACCAATCAGCAGACAAGTTTCCAATATCTGATGAAGCATAATTTAGAGAACTATGACTCAGAACATTCTATGCACTAGATCTCATATTAATAATATTTTAATATCTTCTCAATAATGAGTTAGGGGTATTAAGCCCTCATTGTAGATGATAACACTTATGCTCACCAAACTTGTATACTTTTTTCAAGGTTAAGCAATCACAAAGTTGAGAGAGTCAAGCCCAACTTCTATCCTCTAGCTTCAGATTGTCTCTATTGTACTTTTGGTCTTTAGGGTGATAACAGCTTCTGATGAAAGAAAAATCAAGGAAGAGGAAAGAGCAGAAAAGAAGAAAGTAGAGCAGAGATGAGTCCCTTAAGGAGAAAAAGTGCTCCGTAAAGAGATTGGCATTTATACAATGGATGCCTAGTTTGTGTTTCTCTCTAGATGGTCACTTTGTCTGTTCACAAGCTAAAATCTACACAGGCTTGGCTTGTTTCTAAAGAATAGAAAGCAGTGTTTTATAACTTGGAAGGAAGTATTTACTACTAAGGTATATTTGAATGGTAATAGAACTGATAAACGAATATTTGAGAGACAGGATACCTGAACTTTGATCCTAAGTCTGCCACTGCTTCTTGGTGGCCTTAGACAAACCCTAGGCCTTTTGTGTCTCATTTTTCTCTTTTTTATTTGTTAGTTGAAAGTGTATTACATTTATACAATGCATCTTCATCATATCATTCCCTCACATGTCTTCCTAATTCCTCTAAGACCCGCCCATCATATCTTCCTTCCAATTTCACATCCTCTTTTAAACTTTATATAGATTTATATGGGTATGCCATCATCCACTGGGGTGTAGGAACTCTACTGGTGGCCATACTTCCAAAGAAAAGTGACTTTCCTTTCTTCAGAAGTCATCAGTGAGCCATAGTTCCCAGCCAGGGGTAAGGTCTATAGATTCTCTCTCCCCCACGTTACATTTTTCTAAAGCTGGCTTGATTGTGTCTGCTGTGAATACACATGCACAGCAGTTGCAGCATGTCCAGAGTACAGCATTTCACACTGCAGACTGATGTGTGCTCAACTCCATACTTCTCCAGTGTTGTTTTCCGTGATGTAATTCCCATTGTTAGATGCCGCCAATAATTTCTAAAATGCCTGAAGTGAAACTCTAAACTGGGACTCTGACCTTCATTGTTATCAAGCATATATCTACATTTTTATTCCCCAACAAACCACTGGTGATAAAGTCTATCATTTTTTCTAACCCTTTGCCTCTTAAAGGACTTACCAAGGTGAGAGCAAAGCTTTAAACAAGTCACAATTTAGTTACAGTTTTGATAAAAGTAGAAATAAATTTTAAAATATACTTTAATATTTTAGTTATTAAGCTTTTAATTATACACCAAATAATAATTGACATCTATATATGTTTATAACTTCTTTATGACTTAGTAACCAAGAAAAATAAAATGAAAAATCCATTATGGTATAAAACATTGCTGACCTAAGTCAAAGACAATATTACCTTTTTACTTGAGTCATAAACACAGCTACACACTGTGATACAGAAAGGAACTGTATAAGTGACTGATAGCCCAAAGAAATGAAGATATATCATATTCATGAGTTGTAAAACTTTATAATTTTCTGATGTTAATTTTACACTTACTAATAAATTGACTCAGCAATTCTCCATAATAGAATTAGGAGCTTTATGTGGCAGATGAGACAAGCTGGTTTTAAAATTTATAGCAACATTATGAAGAATGTAAAATTTCAAACAACTTGGAATATAAATATAAGATTAAAAGACATACACACTTTGCCTTCATAACTTCACTTAGAGTCAGCTGAATTAAGAGAATGACCCTGTTAAGGAGTAAATGAATAGAACAGTGGGACACAGCTTAGCGTATATAAAAAAAAAACCCTGTGTATTTTATCGTTATCAGCGCAATACAAGGAGGAAAATTCTTTTTCAACAAATGATACCCAACTAAACTAAACTCTAGTTTAATTAAACGTCTCACTAACCCTTGATGGGCAAAGTTACCTACATTGAGCTCAAATAGACCCCAAGATTTTTCTGGCTAAGGATATGTTAACTATGCATGTAATCTGCTTTCTTTTTTGCTTCTCTCCCTTCTGCCCATTTTTAAAACTAGGAAACAAACCAATGACATAAAGCAAGGCAATAGGAAAGTGTTTACCGTAGTCCATAGAGGACAGTTCCATCAGGATGCAGCCTTATCATTCGGTTTTTCACTGTGACCCCATGCACAAATGATTTCTTGTCATTGAGAAAGTAGGTGTCTGGTACCCAGAGTTGGTCAGCTACCCTGTTGTCAAGGGTCAGGTTTAACGGGATTCCAGAATATGAAAGCCTCTTGTCCTTCCAAGACTGCTGGAAATACATGGTAAGTGTATAATCCTGTGAAAGAAAACAAAAAGGAATTTTACCACCGTCATCATTACAGATCATTTGTTGAGAATCCAAGCACACAGGGCCAGCAAGAAAGCCCAGAGGGTAAGCAAGCTTATAGCACAAACTTGAAAGGCTGAGTTCATTCCATGGAACTCTTGTAAAGATGGAAGACAAGAATTGACTCCACAAAGTTATCTTTTCACCTACACATCTGTGCCATGCTCCCCAACACAACATCAAATACCTACACACTAATAAATGGCAAATTAATTATATAAGAATAACCTGTAAATGTGGTGTTGTGGAGGCTTAGAGTTCCTTCCCATGTTACCCGAGATACATTTGAATACAATGAAATTTATACCTCCAAGCATAGAGCAACACAACATAACATCTATATATGCTAGGAGTCCTGGAACAGTGCCTGAAGGCATATGAGCAGATCATCAAGATAGAGCAAATACATGCAACTTGATTTTAACGTTAAATTTTAAGGCAATAATATCACAGGAAAAAGCTTTCAAGAGACCCAGTAAAAAATTTACCCCTCGATATCATACTTCCAGCTTTATTTCATGGTGGGTCATTAGCTCTGTATTAACTTAAAGTGGGTGTTCTTAAAAAAGAATATATTTTTTCTAACTGCAGTGATTTTTGAATGACTAGTGTTCTGTTTAACTCCTTAATGTTACTAGTTGCCTTTTCTAGATATTTATGACGTACAACTCTCCTGTGGGTCATGAAAAGCTGTTATAATTTATATGTAGACAAAGCGAATTGTATGCCTGAAGACCAATGCCAATGTTATAAATGATCAAGTATCCTTCTTATGTTATCACGGCTCCTTGTGAAGAATAGCTTTAAGTCAGTTCTGGTTTAATATTTAATAGTACGCTTTCCTGGTTTCTGCAAAAGCTTACAATGAGAAGACCTGAATACATTTTTCTCTGGCAATAAGTGACAGAAATATCTGGGCTTCATATATATATTAAACTGCAAGAGAAGGATGGGGATCATTACCATAGTGCTTTAGCTATTGTTTTTGTTTCATTTTAAAGAATTCTATCAGTACAAAGTATAGCTGACTATTATAAGAACGTCAGTTTGCAACAGTAAAATCACAAAGTCTCTAAGGTAAAAATTCTAACATAATAAAATCCAGAACTGTGACTGTTTAACGAATGACCAACCAATGTGAACCTACAGCACCACCTGTATATCCTGGTGCTGGTAGAGAAATGAACTCACCGACTTGAGTGATGAGACTTCTATCTAGTCATCCTGTGTACATTCCCTCAACATATATATATATATATATATATATATATATATATATATATGTATTTCTGAAAAATACTAAATCTTAAGACAATACTGATCCTACATACCCAATTTCAACATTTTTTAAACAATATATTTCAGAACACTCTTACAATTTCCTCAGAAGTCATCATGCACTTATACAGAGACATTCTTAATTGTTCAAAGACAGGAAAGGCTACACTACAATCCTGACCATATTTGGAAGCTTTGAATAGTCTGAAACATTAGTTTTCCTTTATATGTAGATGAACATGTACACACACACACACACACACACACACACGTTTCCTGACTCCAATAAATCTCTCCAATAAGGAAAGTTTTAGGGTATTATCTTGAAGTGCAAAAAAGGCATAGTCTTGAAAATGAAGGAAACAGATCTCTCACCAAGAAAGCATAGGTAGGTGAAGTATGTTAATTACTCAGTTTATCAACTTCAAAATATGCAAAATTTTAAAAACATTGTGTTGAGCTTAGGGAATCCTGCTGAAGAGAGGGAGAATTTAGGAGCTAGAGCGGGTCAAGCGTATCACAAGAAAATTCACAAAATCAAATAATCCGGGCTCAGAGAAGCTCACAGAGTCTGAACCAACAACCAAGGAGCCTGGATGGGACTGACCTAGGCCCTCTGCATGTATGCTACAGTTGTGTAGCTTGACATAACTGTAGGACTCCTAACAGTGAAAGCAGGGGCTCTCCCTAGTTGTTTGGCTAGCTTTTGGGAACCTATACTTCATATAGGATTGCTTTGCCAAGCCTAAATAAAAGGCGAGTTGTTTAGTCCTACTGCAACCATTATACCTACTTTGCTGATACCCATGGGAGGCCTGCCCCTTTCTGAACAGAAACAGAGGAGTGGATGGAGGGAATGGGGTTCAGGGGAGGTGGGGAAGGGAGTGGGAGAAGAGGAGGGAGGGTAACCTGTGGTTGGGATGTAAAATAAATAAATTTAATTAAAAAATCATGTCAAACAGGATAAATATATATAATAATTTCCAATTTATATATCATTGAATGACTTAATTAAAATATATCTTGTGGTAAGTAAACAAAATTGAGTTGAAAAAATAAATTAATGCAGGCATAACATAATATAAATAAGTAACCTTTATGAAGATGTATATATGTGTGCCTATGTGTGAATACGCGTGTGTGTGTTCATGCATGCATATGTATGTGTTTTTGTGGCCTCTCTCCTTTCCATCTTTGGAGGCTGTTTTATTTTCCATGGAGAAATAACTATATGCATCTAGTGAGAGCTTTGCTACACATAACGCATTCTGTTTACAAAAAATATTGAATGAAAATTACATCATGTTTCTAAATTAGAACACTGACATTCCCAATTTATAGTAAGAAATAATCCAAGGAAAATTCAGTATGCCGATATACTACATAAGATGCAAGTGACAGGAACAAGCACCCCTTAAATCTAGTACTTCTAAACATTCTCAATTTAGTAGCCTGAATTGGGGCCTCAAATTATGATAAAAAGAAATATCAATAAGTCATATTAATAACCCAATAAAGCATTTTTCATGATATTGATCATAGTAACATGATGAACTATATGGGCAGACTTAAAGTATAGCAATATCTGAGTTTTCTTCTCTTTCTATGATATGGCACACAAGATGAAAATCTCTTCTGGGCTGAGAGCTCCCATCCATCACCACTTTTTTGTTAATGCAGTAACCTTGTGAGGTTGGTTTGTTAGTCTTAGAAAGGAGTTGTGGTTTATCATCTGAGGAACTGATTGCTGTAGATTTACTGTACATACATTATTTTTCTTATACATGCACTTATAGAATGTTACCAGACACATACAACTATAAAAAAACCAAACCCTACAACCATATCTGGGTCTACGTTACTTTAGATGAAAAAGCAATGCAGAAGGATGCTGTACTTTGTTTTACTGCACTTTTTTTTTCTATTAAGATTCAGTAGTTCAGAGAGCAAGTACTCCAAAGAGTTTTGAAAACTTTCAGGAAGAAATTCTTGCTTCTTAGCCAAGAGCAGTGAAAGAATTCTACTTTCAGGTACGAGTCTAGCAGTAGCACAAGCATTCATCTGGCTTCCCGAAGTATGCAGTCTATCCATAGGGCAAGTGTGATGTGGAAGAAACTCTAGGCCAAAGGGCATTCTCTGACACTGAGCAAATCAATGGGATTAGTGGCTGTGAGATTGCTAATGAAATTGGTCAAGCTAATTCAGGCGTAAGAGAATTGGATTCATTGAAAGGGAGAGCATATCAAATCAGCAACACTCAGCGGAGGTTCATGGAAGATATTTTGTCAAATAAAAGACTTTTTTTCCTTTTTGGAGAATAAAATACACATTTAGTTTTAGATCTGTGGTTTTAAAGTCATGAAGATTTTGCTTTTTCAAAATACCTTTGGCAGCCAGGCAGTGGTGGCGCACACCTATAATCCCAGCACTCGGGAGGCAGAGGCAGGCGGATCTCTGAGTTCAAGGCCAGCCTGGTCTACAAGAGCTAGCTCCAGGACCGGAACCAAAAGCTACGGAGAAACCCTGTCTCGAAAATTAAAAAAAAAAACCAAACAAACAAACAAAGCAAAACAAAAAAACCCAAAATACCTTTGGCAACATCTCAAGAAAGGTCTGACTGTGACAACTGGCTGGTGGCACTGGCATCTGTGGGGAGATGATAGATATCTTCTGAACATACAGCTATGCATGTCACAGCCCCCACCACAAAGAATTAGCTGCTTTAAAATGTCCATAGTGGCTCCTCTTCAAGAATGAATACCCTGCCTGCAATGCAACAGCTTTCCTTTAGCATCACTAAACACTTCAAAACCTTGCGTCATGGTTACAGAAATATCTGCACTTGCAACATACTGTTCAAAAATTTTTTTTGCTAAAGAATACTAGTACAAGATGGTTAGTAATTTTCTATCTTGTTATACTGATGTATGCATGTTACTAGAAGATATTTTAAGAAGACATTTCAGGGAATTGAAAGTGAGAGTGAATTACTACTTGCCTTTGTCAGTAGACATGTTTCAGACAATGTCAGGAGAGACAATAATATTACTTTAACATCTAATAATACTGAATTTCATAAACAATTCTTCCTCTGCGAACTGTTCTAAAAGAAAAGCTGTACTTTGAGAAAGAATCAAGGCTCTAGTTTAATATACATTATAAGAGGTTCCAAATACAAATCCCTGTTCTTTATTGAACAGTCATATCAATTGGACTCTGAGATCTGCTCTTTCCAAATTTAGGTTTTTTTTTTTTTTTTTCTGACTGGTTGGTTATAGTGAGGCAGTACATGATTGCTTCCAACTTCTGCTGATCCTAGCGTGATGGATACCATCCTATCTACAGTTCTAGCTGATGGAGAATATCCTACTTATAGCTCCTAACAAAATTGAGAATAACCTACCCATAATCGAGCAAATGGAGACTTCCCTACCTACAGTCCTGCTGATAGTATCCTATCTAAACCTCCAGCTACTGATGCAAGACGAGCTCACATCACTTGGCTCGACTCTTTTCCAGCTTCAAGAATGGAGATTAGAGAGCTATATTAGAACATCAGTTTCACATGTGTACAATAAGCATATGCCTAATTAAAAAAAAACAAGAGAGGGACACACCTGAATCCTCTTTAATGAATTTATTACTGAGCTAATATCTATCACACAAGCTCA